AGAAGGCATTAAGATTCAGATGAACTGGGGAGGGTAATGGGATTAGAATCCTGAACCGTTTCCAAGGGTGGGGAGTCGGATTGACAGCTGAGTCTATTGCACTGACGATTGCAGTGAAATATTGTGGCTCTGGCAAAGGCAGCTAGCCAGGCATGGAGGCAGGCAGGGAAGCAGGGGATTGCTTAGCCTACAGTACCTCTGTTTACTCCAAGCTTTACCACACATAATACAGAAGACGGGGGGGAAGCATCTCTGCCTCTATCAGCTGCACATAGCCTGGGCTTTAACTGAATATTGGGAAAACAGCAGAAAAGCTTCAGTCTGTCTCACAAAGGTGTTTGGCAAACAAAACAGAAGCACTGTGGCTTTAAATCGCCCTCCCTCCCACCCTTTCTAAATATCTTCTATTTAGCCAGCGGTGAAAAGATATAGGGGGCTTTTGTCTGCGTACCCATTGGTGGGGGCATGGAGAGCTGGAAAGACATAAAAATAGGAACAAAGTACTAAGCTTCCAATTGGGATGGCTCTGGGCAATTCAATGCGCTCAGCTCAGTGGGCAAAAACAAGGAGAAGTGGGCTACTATTACGGGCTTATCTGAAAATAGGCTATTCTCACACAGCTATAGTATAGACTGGTGTGGAAATACCCTGCATTGTTTATAATACACACGGCTATGGGAGGCAAACACAAGCCCTTTAAAAGTCTGCCATGGCTCCATAGAAAAGGGCAAACCGTGCGAGTTAGACGTGTTGTTCATTGTCGTCTGTTTTGCTGCATTTCTGTAACGTTATAGTCCACTCACCGACTTGCAATACGTTGTCCACCCAGCCACCCTCTAGCAGAGTGACACCCCGTAGGAAAGGCAGCTGGGTCTCGTCGTTATTGTCCCCGCTAGTTCCACTTTCCTCTCCTCCGGCGTTGAAAGAGGAATACATACAGATCTCCTTCTCGCTCCTCGGGAATGACCAATATACGATCCTCCGCTGCACGGGTTCCGGGATCCTCTCGAACCGCTCCTCCACCCTCTGAAACGGCCACTTCTCCGCGACTCTGCGTGCCGCGATATCGAGCAACGACTCGGGGTTATGTGTTTTTCCGTTCCCCGACCCTCCCGGAGCGGACCCTGCGCCGCCACACAGGACTCCTCCAGCCCGCTGCCCCTGCCTGCATGCCGGGTTGTAGCCGGGCCTGCAGCAGAGCCGCTTGGCTGGGGGCTGCTGGACTCGCTCGGCCATGATCGCACCGCTTCCAACCTGAAGCGCTGTTCCTCTCCGATCATATAAACGGGATAAGGAAGAGAAAAGGGCAATCTCGCACCGATTGTTTGCCGTACATGGAGAGACTGCCCTTATTTGGAAAGGGAGGCGGCGCCTGCGAGTTCCGTGAAGTCCTTTGTGTTGTCAAAGTAACCGGGAGGGGCGGGGTCCTGGAGCGCAGCCAGCGCACGAGTTGCGCTATAAAAGGAACTGGAGGCGGAATTCCCGAACGTCGGCAAATCCTTTGTGAAGCCGTTCGGGAGCGCGAGGGCGGAGCCCCGGCGGCCGACGGCCTTTGAAGTTTCCTTCTTATTTGAGTTTAAAGGCGGGGACTTAATCCAGGGGCGGTCTCGCAGTTTCCCACAGGGGTAAAAGGGGGCAAGAAAACTGACTTTTTTCCTTTGGAGCCTGTGCTACCACCCCGGGCTCTAGCTTCTTCAATAACAACGTGATGGTTGTTTTCGAGGCTTAAGTCCAAAGGACTCTCAGCTGTCAGAGACAGAAAGGGCGTGGGAGGAGGAACATAAAGATATGTAGCTGGACATGCTTGTCCTCTGTATTCACTATTCAGGCATGTTGGTTAGTGGCTGCTGCAGCTTATGGACAATTAATTGTACTCAAAAATAAAGGAAAAATAGCTTCCTTGCTATCTCTTTCTCTCTTTCTTTCTTTCTTTTTTTCAGTCTCACACACAGACACTAATTTAACTTGAGTAAAAAACAGGGTGACTTTGACTTAATATGATTAAAGACTTAACAAGCACATATTTTACACTAAGCTAAGACTAAATTAAAGAAAAGTTGCTGACATTAAAACGAAGCCTGTGAAAAGAAAGGCCTCTTCTGAGGTCAGAAAAAAACGATCCCTGGTGATGGTGGTATATTCATTCATTTTACATTTAAATATTAAACAGTCAAGTCATGCTCTATTGAGGAAATTACTCAAGGTCTGGCCAGACAACTGGGTTTTCTTGTAATCATTATGACGAACTGGTTAACTAAAATGTGGTGTAGTTGTTTTATGGTCCTCCTTCCTGTCTGTTGATAATGCTTGTTCCACAGCTTCATCATGAAAAGGGGGCCCACTTCTGTAGGAGTCAAATAGTCATCAGGGGTATAGGGTGCGGCTGCATTGCCCACCCCCTGGGTTCTCCCTTCCTGGGGAGACATGTAACAGAAGCTAATAATTATAAGCAAAAGCCATAAGATGGGGGTGGGGGCTAAATTGTCTATAAAACTTGCCCAAAACTATGCTGGCAAACCAGAAAGTGTGTTCGCAATGTGTTTATCCTCTGCATGTGTTCCCAGCTGCCCCTCTCTTTCCTCTGTGAGCAGGGCTAAAAGACTGGCCTTTGAACTGCTCTGAAAGTGATCCATGCCGTATGGACAGAGCAGATGTGGCCTAACCTGATTTGGTTTCAATACTTCCCCACAGGAAGTTCACAAAGCCAGCAGGTCCATCTTTGTTATGTTAGTCATCTTTCCCAGAGGGCCAGTGCAGCGTTTTGCTTCTTTTTTTAAATAGCTATTTCCTTATAGTTTTTTCTATTCTTCAAGCAGAACAGTTACACACATGGTCACTTTTAAGAACTAGATGTCATCTGAACAGAGTAGACCATATTTGTCAATCTGTATCCAATAATTTAAGTTAGCATATTCGTAGCAAACTAATCATATTATTTCTAAGTAACCATGACCGACTGCTGTGTGCTATATCCAAACAGATAATATTGTAGCTTCAACCCCACAGGTAAGCTCTACATATTATCAAACTTGATCATAATGTATCAAACACATTTATGTACTCACTCACAAAGACCAAACCATACATATTGGTGCCAGATGTTTAGTATATTTATATTAGCTTTATTTATTTATTTATAATTATCCTGTTATGTTTATCTATAGCTTTTAAAAGTCATTTCATTTATTTTATTCATATTTACTATCTTATTCTGTTGCACCTATACTGGACCAGCTCAGAAGAAATGTCTCTGTGCCCTAACAATGACAACAAAGTTCTTGTATCTTGAACCATTTTTTTCCTACTGAGATAGTTTTTTATCCTGCACCTTAAGGAATAGGTTAAATAAAAATCTTAAATGCTATGATTCAAAGTAGTATAGTATGTCTCCCTGTTTTTAAAGTTATTTCAAGTGCAATTATTCCTTTTCTTATGTTCCTAAAATGTATAATATACATTTTGCAGGCAATGTGATACAAAATACAACATTATGGCCAAACACTGCATAAAATACAGTTTACATTTTGCTCTGTATTTTGATTATTTGTGGGCTACATCTAATTTCCTAGGCTTGAGGACTACATTTCCCATCTTTAAAGCGGCGCGTCATATCCAATCAGGGCGAGGAATAGGACCACATCACGTTACACTACCCGGAACTGGGAGGAGGTGGTACTAATTATCGCGGATACAAACACAATCTCTGCACATTGGTAAGTTTATTTTGTATCTATATCGTTTTTACCACCAATAACCAATATGAGAATATATATTATTTGTTTTGTCACGTTCACACGCATAGTTGTTGAGCAGTTTAGCCGAGAGTCGAAGCTATCCTGCTCCTTAAAGTTAGGCCGTTATGAATGGGCAGGTTAGCAAGCGTCGCTAATCGCAGTAGAGAGGTTCATTTCTAAACCCGCAACTCAGTTATTCAGATCAAATACTACTAGCAGTCTAGGCAAATGTGTCAAATGAGCTCGAGTATATAACGTTTTATCTAGATTAGATAGTTTGTAAGGGTTTTCGGAATGCAGCTAACGGAGCTAGCTTTGGCTCAGTTTGACGCTACTTAGCTGCTGGAGATTAACTCTAGCGGTTCATCAAGCGGCTGTTTGGCTGAAGAGCTCAACAAGTAGCGATAACCAAGGTTACATATATTGGTTTAACCATATTGATGACGATAATGATGGATTTTTCACTGCACTGATGCCAGTGGGTAGCATTGTGATAACGATGTCTATGTAACGTTACCCTTTCTGTGGTAGCACCGTTTATAAGTGACTGTTATTTTGTATATATTGACTGTTGTGCGTTTTTATTTATGCCTCTTAATGTGTGTACATGGGTACAGGTGTGTATAAATGTGTATATATGCATATTTTTCTAATATATGTTGTATTCCTTGGGATTGTGAGAAACAGCATTTCGATCTCCCTGTATGCATCTCACACACAGAAGATTTACAATAAAGTTGACTTTGACTTTTGACGTAAAAATATTTTTTTACCTGGATTATTAAAAAATCCTAGTATTATTTACCCAGTGAAATTTACCTCCTTATAAGCAATTTTACGACACAATAATTCTGATGAATATCAATGTAGATTAGACGATATGTAGCATGGGATGTAGCAATTTGTTACTTTCAGAAAGTGTCTAATATGTAATTACCATGAATGCTATTATTAATGTTAATTATTCGTAATTTTTGTTTCAATAAGACAGTTAAGAGGGAGCAACAGGGAAACAATCAATCACATTTTCTTGCCTCAGTTTTATAAAGTTCCTTAACTCGTCAAATCTGCATTTAGCTGATTAACCAGAAAGTAAAAATGTCTGTTTCATTACTTTATAGGGGTGTTGTGTCTGTAAACAGTTTTGTGAGATTGAACGCATAATAACAACTCCTTCTAACATATTAACCTGTTATTATCATTTGTACATATTAGTTGCTTTTCTTCTGGATATTCATTGCTTTCTCTCTTGGTACCCTTTCTCAGGTCTGATTGCGCCTCACTGTTGCTAAACAGGATGATTGACGTTCGAGCATGGGCAGAGTATGTGGTGGAGTGGGCTGCCAAAGACCCCTACGGTTTCCTCACCACTGTCATCCTGGCTCTCACACCTCTCTTCATTGCCAGTGCACTGCTGTCCTGGAAACTGGCCAAGATGATCGAGGCACGTGACAAGGAACAGAAGAAAAAGCAGAAACGTCAGGACAACATAGCCAAGGCCAAGAGGACCAAGAAAGATTGAGCCTGTGGGTAGGATGAGGGCATATAAAAGGAGGAGCATCCACCACACATGCAGCCCTCCTTATTCCAAATAACTTAACAACGTGGAGCCCTTTGTGTCCCAGCCCTACTGTCAGCACAGGGCCCCTACGCCTCAAATCTGGGGTGGGAGACTGGCCCCACAGGCTAACAGTGCTGAGACGGACAGTACTGCCCGAAGGAGGCTCGTCCCAGAGGGACTCTGGTCAGCAAGAGCACAGTGGTCATCTGTATCATGTAGTTTTACAGAAATCCGCTGATAATAATGTGCAGCTGTTGCAACTCTTTGCATTCCATTGTTAGCATCCATGTTCTTTAGAATTGAAGATGTAATAATGAGCTTACTGGAACTTTTTCCAAAATATCCAAAATACTACTTTCTAATCAATAAAGTTTTCATGTCGAATAATATGATCTAATTTCCTCATAATGGATTTTATATTGAAATGGAAAAATGATGTAATTCTAATTAAATGCAGATAAAGTATACATCCCCTCATCTTTAATTGTATTGTAACTTTGAGCCAGAGTGTATAATTCAATTTTTATGTTCAGATTGACAGAAAAGCCTCGGAATGTCAAACAGAATGACATACAAATCCATAATCCATACAAATGAATCACAAATGTTTAGCAGCCAGTCATATTTAGCATTTGCAAAACTGCATGTGAGAAGGGAACTTGGGTGAAATCGACACATTATTTAATGTAAGCTTAGTTTAAGCTTCTCGCCTTTTCTGATTACAGGGTTTAATTTAGAGTTAAAAGTTATGTTTTATACATATTCCAACCTGATGAAACATTTGTTTTCCTTGTGCTTTATCAAAAAAAATTATGCTTTTCATGTTGACAAAGTAAAATGTTGCTCTTTGAAGAACATTTAAAAAGGATGCACAGTATATTTGGTCATGGCTGAGATCTGCTCTTCTGATCACCTTCAATTTATACATTTACAATATTTATATTTTCTTGAGATTAAGCAGTCAATATAGATATTACCAAAGTCACAATTTATTAGAAATTATTTCTTGCAATATCCACAATGCATGACACAGTATCTATAATTGACTATTGTGAAGTACAAGCATTTCACTTTTTCCTTTTGGCTCCATTGAATCATTACTTAAAGTCAGCTTCAAGATGAGTGACTATTGTCTTGATTATATACAATGTATGTACACCAAGGGACTACGGAAATAAAAACCTGACAATGTAAAACAATCCAATAAAACATCCTTGAAATTATTACAGCCTAGATAAAATAAAGAGATTTAAACTGGTTATTTCTGAAGTCGCAGGTTGTGGTATGGACTTGAATTACATTATACTGAAAGTTGCTTCTAAAGTTACACTACAAAGTTTCAACTGAATGGGAAATATCAGTTTCACATAGGTAGTTCTTTATTGCAGGGCTTATCTATTGGATTGTGTTTTATTGTACAGCGGTCTCCCTGAATGTGGATGTCTCAGTCTATTTCTTGGGCAGCCAGGAGCCGGGCTGAAAGGTGTTGGCAGTGCTGCTGGGGTCCTCGCTGATCTCCTGCTTCCCGAAGTCGGTGGAGGCGGCATGGCCTTTGGCAAGAGTCTTTGCAGGAGTCGTCACAAGACCATCTTCATATTCCTTGGCCTGTAGGATCAGATCTTTCTCCTCCACCTCCCTGGCCTTAATTTGGATGTTGTCCCTGTAAGACTGATTCTTCAGAAGCTCCTATAAAACACAGAGGTGGACATACATGCATATTCAGTGTTTTTGCAGTGTTCAATACATTACATATAAGATAGTATAAAACGTTTTAATAAATCGTGAAATTCAATAATACAAAATAAATAAACAGTCAAAAGAATGATGGAAAATCAGTAGGCAGGATGTGGCTTTGAATCAGAATGTATTGACATTCAAAGCAGTGCTTTCCAGTCATACAAAACAATAATGTCTTGTGATATAATCAATTTACATCACCCGATCACAGATAAGTGTCAGAGGATTGATGGATGGATTAACCTATTGAAAATTGAATTAATTTAAGTTTTTGCTGAAATCAACACTTCCTATTTATGAGTCGATAAGCTTCCTTTCTTCCGAAGCCGGCAGTGTTTTCTACAGTTTTTTTGCTGTTGACTAAAACTCCCCTACTCCTGAACATGCAGTCCACTTTCAAAACAAACCCACGGTGAGTTATAGATGTAAAGTCTCCAAACAGCATACAACCTGATTAAAAAATAGTTTGAACTAATGAGACTGTATATAGAAGGAAGGAAGAAAAATAACCTACACGACATGTTGATACTTTACTTAAATGTTTTTACGGATGTTATGTCTTGAATTTATCCTTGTCATAGTCTGATTTCTTATACATTGTGGGCTTTATGGGTCGGTGACCCTTCATTGTAAAACGTGTTTAAAATCAATAGTAAAAACATGCTTATACATTTCTTGATAGATTACATATAGCAGCCATGCAATATTGCCAACGATAGCCACCAAGGTAAAATAAAAGGGGCAGCAACCACAGTTTAATGGCATGGCATCCAACACTTCACAAATAAATCATTACCAGACAGCATCTACCAAGTTCTGTGATGTTGGAAAATAGAACCAGTTATAAGTCTCCTGCTTACTATTCTAACCCTGTTTGTCCGAAAGGCACAACAAGTAAATTGCCTAGTCAAAAGTAGAAAGATATAAAAATGCATTGAAAATCTTCCAGGGACAAATGTGTGTGTGTTTGCGTGTGTAGAGTAAAAAGTAAGACATTTACTAGCAGATGACCAAGTGTGTTCAGTTAACCTGCACTATATTGTCCAATAAAACCTGGTTAAAAATGTAGTGTTTGGAACAGATTGGTAAACTAACATGACAGGAGGCATTCGCAGTATAAACAACCAGTCCTCATGGAAACAATTATAGCCTGAAAGCAGTCCACCAGTGGAATAGTTACCCACTTGAGCCACAACTAGTGTCCAGTGATGTTAGCCTCTCCCTAGCATGAGAAGCCAGAAAAGAAGGGAGGACTGGGCATAATGCTGTTGTGTGTTGGCACAATTGAAGGACTGGAAAAGAGAGGGGAGAGCTGTGGCCAAAAAGCCCCGCTTTGGGGAGAGAGACAAACATACTGAGCTGCTTTTCCAGCCTGTTAATGACAGGATTTAATCCAATCAATTTATGTCGGCTTGGACCGGGAAGAGAGGGAGCGTGACAAGGGGTAGGGTAATGTGCTGGGAGTGAATCCTTGGCCACATCAACACTGTCCAGCTGTCGATGGCAGCTATTGGGCAGACGCAAGGCAGAAAATTGGAAGAGAATGTTCTGGCAATAGAGACAGGGGATGGCATTGGCCACTGGCAAGGAGAGAGGACAGAGAGACAGAAAGAGTGCCTCGGTATCGGCCTTCCAAGGGATTTCCTATAGACCTACATTTCGCCGTCCAAATAATTTCCAGCATTCTCACATTTAAAGAGCAATAAACCCAGTGAGAGGTACGCGAGGGGAAAAACTGCAGTCCTTCACAATTCCTATCCTAGAGACTGCCAGAAATACAACAACACTGGGAAACAGAAAGTAAACTAGGACATGGTGTCAGTGAGCCGCTTGTTCAGAAGCTGTCTTTGCTCTTCGCCATCAATGCACTTCAGCTGCTGTTTATTTTAACACCTGTCCCCCGAAAGTTCCAGGATTCAGTTCCAAACTGTAAGATAAAAACAAATCAAAGCCGTTCCTTGCTTCTATCTTTCCCTCCCTTGTAACCAGCCCTCTAGAGTCCAACCATCAGCACAGCGGGGAGGCTGGGGGGGGGGGAGACGCACCTCGACAGAGGGGGGCTCCTTCCGTCTGCCTCGGATCCACGCTGCAGGAGAGAGGAGGAAAAAAGAAGAGTGAGAACACCCACACAAACACACGCAGCACAAACAAAACCTGCAGTGATATTTAAAAGCTGCTATAGCATCGCTGAGTTTCAGGGCACAATGGTAGCTTGGTGAAAACAGAGTTACCAAGCAAGATGGGAAAACACACAGTATCTAGGGTTTTTATCATTTCATTTAGTGAACTATAGGGAAACATGCAGAATGGTAAAAGTTACACACATGATAAACTCAAAACCATAATCCTGCTTTAGTTTAGGCAGAGCAGGGCCACTGAATGCTGTGTCTCAGAAGAGACAGTAGGAGTCTGCTCTGATCTTTGCATTTGAAAGTAGACATTGTCATTCTCCATCAGTAGCTCTGTCCTTCTTTCTCCTCCAGAGTAGAACTGTGTATGTCTGTCATATTTTTTCACTTTTAAAAGGAGCTCTATTTTGGCTGAGCTGGTTGCACAGCAGAGCAAGTTAAAGGGAGCCAGAGAGAGAGAGAGAGAGAGAGAGAGAGAGAGGTTTTCTAACTCTTCCCCCAGCTAGCACAGGGATTCTGGGCCTCTTTTATCCCTTTCTTATTTGCATCCTGATGAAAATGCATGAGGGATGGGGCGAAGCAGGATGAAGGGTTTAAGGTGGATAAAGCCAGTCTGAGACAGAGGGAACCGTTTGTATCCAGTTGTAAGACATTTGAAACACTATTTTTGATACGGTTGTATAACACCAGCAGAAGGCGTCTTTGATAAACTCATGAATACACTTCTCCCAACCCCCCTCTTGCAGTTTGAGACAAAAAAAAGAAAGAAAATCAATGGATTAGCCTAGGCCCCAATAGATACAGGCATGAATTTGTTATTCCATTTTATTTGTGCAGCCCTTTACTCTGGTGGGTAGCTTTCTTATTAACATTGTCATTTATCCATACTAGTGATATTAAAAGTATAACAGTGATGCTGCGGTCCACACTTACAGTCCCACTCCATTGGTATGCTGCCTTCCACATATGTATATTCTGTAACATTAGCTGCCACCACCATCCGCCTGGCACGGACCAACCTGCCTGGGAAACAAAACAAAAAGTAGAGAGGAAGACGGCGAGAGTGAGATAGAGATGCTCAACAACGATGCATACAAAAACGCAAAGGAATACAAACACACACATGAGGAGCAGACACAATGCTCTCAGACACACAGATACAGACGGACGCACAGACACACAAATACTCAGAGGAATGACAGCACTGTGACAGGCCATGGATGATTACCTCGTGGCCCTCGGGCCCTTCTTCTCAGATCTCGCTGAGTGGCTCCAAATCTGGGCTAAGCCTTTATGCAAATCAGCCTGACTTTAACCCAACCAACCACAGCCCCCCTCACTCAAAGCCTCTTCCAATCACAGCACTCTGGCTAACAATGCCCTCCAAAATCAACATCAAGCCGAGCAGGAGACAAAAGAGGTCAGATATCACAGAGAACAGGAGAGGCACGAGCTGCGTGGAATATTAAGTGCTCCTCTCCCTATCTGTATACAGCACGATGCTCGCTAGCAGCAAGGCCACCGCCAATTATTTTTGGTCGAATCTGCTGATTAGACAAGTTTGGCTGGCACACAATGACATGGAGATGGAGGTATATAGGGGGGTGGCAATGGAGAGGGATGGAGACAGAATAAGAGGGGACAAGATAATTAAAAAAGAGCAAGTTGTATCTTTGTGAGTTGCTACAGAGCTTTATACAGTGTTCAGAACAAGTATTTCCATAGTTTCTCCTCGCTGGTAGCTGGATGTCCATCGCGCGCTCCCATCCTTCTGAGAAATGATGAAGCAAGGACGGAGGAGGTAGGAGGGAGAGAGAAAGAAAGAGAGAGAGAGAGAGAGAGAGAGAGAGAGAGAGTGATGATGCATGGCAGACATGGCTGGGAGAAGAGAAATGGATGGGCAAGGAAAACAACACGCTCCAAAACACAGACAATCTGTCAGGATTCCATCACCGTTTCTCCGCAGATGACTGGACATGGACAAATGGAGGCAACCACCTCCATGCACAGCGCAGACTGATGGCCTTAATGTTTACTTCAGCCATAACAGATAGCTACTGCACCGAGATGGATGAGTGATGACATTTCAAAGTGGCTAAGTGTATACGGGAGTGCCTTATAATAAAAGCTTATCTGTTTTCTTCCAATGAAGACATTTTTCATGCATGTGCTGCTCTGCAATTATGCCTTATAAAGTGATGATTCCTTCCCATACTTTATCCATTTAGTAATCAGGTCAGCTAATTAGGCTAGCATTGCTTTGGTTCTGCTTTGGTTCCCACTAGATTGTCACTATAAGGCCTCACAGGCTCCAGCTTTCTGGTATCCAAGTCTCACAAAAACACTGCATTCTCTCACCTAGCTGGCCCAGCAACATGTAAAATGCATCCTATGATCCTCATGTTTGTTTACATGCCTTACAATGTCTCCTGAGGAACAGCTTTCTAGAAAACCCCCATGATAGCAGAACAAAAACAACTGCCAGCAAACAAAAGACTGTTCTCAAGGCAATACTCACAAATACATTTAACAGGTATGCTAATTAAAACAGATTATATCTGTATTTGCATTGGTGTGGGTGGCAGCAGACTGAAATGGTACAATTATGATACAGTCCCCACAAGCAATGTGCTTAACTAAAACTAATAGCTAATAAGCATCAAGAAGCACCCACCTTTTCTCCATCTCTCTCCACTGCGGTGCATCCCCCCCTCTCCATTCTGTCACACTCCAACCGAGCGCTCATCTTGTCTTGTTGCTTTTGCAGCATGACTAAACCTCTTCCACCATGGCTTTTATCCTTGGATTTGAGTAACAAATACAGTATGTACATATATTTAGGAAACATGGCTGATCGTCCCAACACATACTCATTGGGAGGAGGCTTGTCAGTGGGACTGCTGTGAATATCGCTCTCTTGGTATTATTTTAGATGGTACCACTCCAGATAAACACACACAAGCTAAAGCTTTATAACGTGCAATTCTACAAATATATTGCAACATTTTAACATAAACACATCCTGTTACCTCATGTGAGATGATTGAAGATGTAGTAAAGAAATGTGATGACTTGTGGATATTAGGTTTGTGATTACAGATGTAATCTACACGTAACATAGCATAACAGAATTGGCCTGGCACATTGTTTGCATAGTGATTACTCAGCTGAGAGGGGTGCCTGCAACTAATGATTACTGTCATTACTAATAATTAATCCATAGATTATTTAAAACAAAAAGTATATTTTCAAATCTAAAAACAGACCATAAAGGCATACCTTAAAATTGCTTACTTTGTTTGACGAACAGTGAAAAAATAAATAAAAATGGACTGTTATAATAATACATTACAGTTGGAAAAAACAATAAGCCCCTTATATTTAAAGCTGTAGTAATAAACACTGTGTTCCAATCCCTCCCCCCAATCATTTTTGTTATGGATGAACCATTTGTCTCTGAAATCAAAGAAATTATATAAAATGTTGATCATAAATTACTAGAGTCCGAGGTTGTTTTTTTAAGTTGATATCCCAAAATTGTGTCATCAGGTTAAGCTGCCTTCACAACACGATACATCAATGCAATACCATTTTCACATTGACGAGATTAAATCATCAAATGTTTTGTATTTTACCTTGATAAATATCAATCAAGACTAGTTGGCTATCAATCAGTCAAAATACTTAAATTCCCTCATTATCGACTAACTGAATTATATACTCCTTAGTGTTAGTTTCATAAAGTTTATCATAGTCATACAGGATCCCACATCCAGCACAGTTCAGACCTCAGACAGACAGAGAGAGAGAGAGGTATGAAAGGTGTTAGGAGCTCTCCATCTCAGCGGGCCCCCATGTGACAGGTCTTCCTTCTCAACACTCACAAGGGGAAACCTACTTATCACACACACACACACACACACACACACACACACACACACACACACACACACACACACACACACACACACACACACACACACACACACACACACACACACACACACACACACACACACACACACACACACACACACACACACACACACACACACACACACACACACACAACACACACACACACACACACACACACACACACACACACACACACACACACACACACACACACACACACACACACACACACACACACACACACACACACACACCACAGCCCACACCCCACACACACACACACACACACACACACACACCACACACACACATCACACACACACACACACACACACACACACACACACCACACACACTCACACACACACACACACACACACACACCCACACACACACCCACACCACACACACACACACACACACACAACACACACACACACAACACACACCAACACACACACACACACACACCACACACACACACACTGGAGAGCAGGGAGATTAACCTGAGGGACAGGAGCGAGGACGCAGTCTCTTACCGTGAAGGACAAACGCAGCGCTGCGTTGTTGAGGGGGAGGGGCCAGCGGCAAGAGGAATGAAATCCCAATGCATAAATATTCATGAGCCATCTCACCTGTCTGAGCGCGACTCATCTGTGAGCCTAGCTGTGGAACCGGGGGGAGGAGGGGAGAGGAAAGGAAGGAAGGGAGGAGACAGGGAGGCAGGATGGGTGAGGGGTTGCCTTGGCAGCCAGATCGGGAGCCAATCAAACGGCAGGTACACCTATCTTTCCCGTTCGTTAGAGTAAGACGTGATGCGCTCTGAGGGCTGCTCTTTGAACCCTGAACACACCCCGCTAAACTCCATCACCTGCTTCAACAGACACACACACACACACGCACACACACACACAACCCCCAACTTCACACATCAGCTCCCAGGTGAGAGCTGCTCGGGGCGACCTGAGAGGTTTCTCACCTCCACAATGTCATTCCGGGGCGTCTTGCTCGCTGTGTGTCTTCCTCCTCCACTCGTCTTTGATTAAAGACACAGTTCTGAGGGTAACACACATAGAATGGCAACATCCGGGAAATGGAGAGCCCAAAATAATCCTATAAAAACTAAACGGATTTCCAACTGGTGGACCTCCTGCTCCTCATCATCAACACAGACTTCTTCTGCACCACCACGTACACTTGCCTTTCAACAGATTGCAATTTAGACAAACGCTCCCACCTGGAACTCAATCTCAAAATAAAGAGCTTCTTCACATTCTGCATGATAGCGAGAGGTACACTAAAGCAGTGAGTGTTGGGCCTGACACTGTGGTGCAGAAGCAGTGGTCCCATCATCCTGTTGTGAGCCTAGTTCAATTCTCTCCAGCTGAGCCGTGTGCAGAGGAGGGATGGGGGACCAATACCTGCATGGTAATGGACAGCTTTATGAAGATGGAGTGATCGGATAAGCATCAGTGATACAAGGACAACCAGGTACCAATACCAGCACCCTGTCCTTCCCTCCTCTCTCTCCAATCTCTTATCCTGTAAAAAATTAAAAATAATTGAGGGGATGTGTGATGCCTGTAACCATGGTTACCCATTAGCCCTGAGCCTAGTGAAGCTGGTTTAGAGGGAAAAGGCCAGCCGTTGTTTTGACTCAATTCTGGTAAAAGGAGGGGCTTACAGGCGTAAAGTAGGCCTGCCACTGCTGCTGTTTGCCTTTTTTATCCAGCCCTCATTCTGTTTGTCCCTGTTGCTGTCGATCCCGCTGAGGCTTGAGCGACTCACGGCAAAACAGAGAAGAATAATTCATAAAAAAAGTAATAACATGCTGAAAAGAGTACTCTGATTTCCCCTGCGTGTTACTTTTAACTAAACGCAAGCATACTCGAGGGTGAAAGGGATACTTTACCCCCTTCCACTTACGACCACCCGTCCTCTTGAAGTCCCGTCTCTGCACGATGGGTTATAGAAAAGGACCGTGGCGAGCCAGGAAGTCAGCGTCCTTTGTGAGGCTGTGGAGCGGTGTGCACCCCCCCACCACCTCCTCCTCCTCTCCGGCTCCTCTGAGGCCCATACGTGTGATGTCCATACAACAAGCTGTC